CTTGTCTTCAGCAAACTGTTTGCGGGCTTTCTTGTACATCATCTTTAGAAGAGGCTTCCTTCTGGGACGACAGCCATGCAGTCCAATTTGATGCAGTGTGCGGCGTATGGTATGAGCACTGACAGGCTGACCCCCCACCCCTTCAACCTCTGCAGCAATGCTGGCAGCACTCATACATCTATTTCCCAAACACAACCTCTGGATATGACGCTGAGCACGTGCACTCAACTTCTTTGGTCGACCATGGCGAGGCCTGTTCTGAGTGGAACCTGTCCTGTTAAAACCGTTGTATGGTCTTGGCCACCGTGCTGCAGCTCAGTTTCAGGGTCTTGGCAATCTTCTTATAGCCTACGCCATCTTTATGTAGAGCAACAATTCTTTTTTTTCAGATCCTCAGAGAGTTCTTTGCCATGAGGTGCCATATCGAACTTCCAGTGACCAGTATGAGAGAGTGAGAGCGATAACACCAAATTTAACACCTGCTCCCCATTCACACCCGAGACCTTGTAACACTAATGAGTCACATGACACCAGGGAGAGAAAACGGCTAATTGGGTCCAATTTGGACATTTTCACTTAGGGGTGTACTCACTTTTGTGGCCAGCTGTTTAGACATTAATGGCTGTGTGTTGAGTTATTTTGAGGGGACAGCAAATTTACACTGTTATACAAGCTGTACACTCACTACTTTACATTGAAGAAATGACACTTTTGCTACAGTGTTGTCACATGAAAAGATATAAAATATTTACAAAAATGTGAGGGGTGTACTCTCTTCTGTGAGATACTGTATGTACTAATATATATATATATATATATATATACACACACATACATGCATACATACATTATATACAGTACATACATCTCAAAAATGTTACATTTTACGTTTATGCATTTAGCAGATGCTGTTATCCAAAGCAACTTACAATAGAGGAACATAAGCATTTCAACAAGCAAAGAGTCAACAATATTCTCAAAGTAAACAATGTTTGGTTTATTAGAAAGTTAGGAAACAAGCTAGAAAATGTGAATAAAAAAAGTGTTGCAAAAATAATTATAATAATTCATATTTTATTATAAATATTTGTTTCAAATAAATAATAATTGTATATTATAATATATATATATAATAAAATATAATTGTGTATATATATATATATATATATATATATATATATATAAAATAGAATGTTTTTTTTTTTTATGTTGGACGATTTTGGACCAAACATCTTCATTCTTGAGACCTGTGTAGACAACATGTTTTAAAGGACTTTAGTTTCAGGCAAGGAAGTTTTCTGGGATGCTGTGATGTTATAGATGATGACATTGGAGCAGGATGTGTGTATTTGAGCTGTGTCCGCTCTCGCTCAAGGATGAGGCCAGTACTCTGCAGTTGCTGAAGAAACAGCTGGCACTACAGCAGACCATAGAGGACTATGCCGAGACCATCGGAATGCTTTCACAGCAGTGCAGACAGCTGCTGGAGCTCGGACATCCAGACTGGTAAATGTGCAGCAGTACTTACTGACCCAATCAAACATACAATCACACAACAATCTTTTGGCCTATCTAGTTTCACTTCTGAGCAATCACAGATGACATTCTTTGTATTCCAGTGATAACACCTTTCAAGAGTAACAGATTTCACTGATTTTTGTTTCCTTTGAATGAAATCTAAGTATGTGTGTGTATGCTTGTGCCTCAGTGAGCAGATCAGTAAGCATCAGTCTCAGATCGACAGGCTGTACGTGTCTCTGAAGGACCTGGCGGAAGAGAGGAAGTCCCGTCTGGAGCAGCAGTACTGGCTCTATCAGCTCAACAGGGAGGTGGATGAACTTGAGCAGTGGATAGCAGAGAGGGAGGTCATCGCCAGCTCCACTGAGCTCGGACAGGACTTCGAGCATGTCACGGTCAGTTGCTTCAGCTATTTCATATTTATCTGCCCCTAAACATGATTAACTGTAGCTCTCGTAGTTCTTCAGTTTCATAACATTTCTGCCCTGTCATGGTGGCACTTTTCCTGAACCTCAGATTCTGCAGGAGAAATTCACAGAGTTTGCATCGGAGACTGGGAGCCTGGGGCAGGAGAGGGTCACAGCTGTCAACCAGATGGTTGATGAGCTCATAGATTATGGGCATGGGGATGCAGCCACAATCGCTGAATGGAAGGATGGAGTGAACGAGGCCTGGGCGGATCTGCTGGAGCTGATGGAGACACGGGGACAGATGCTCGCTGCTTCACACCAGTTACACAAGTTCTTCTCTGACTGCCGAGAGGTGTGGAGAAGGAAATGCAGGACATCTAATTAAATCATCTAAACTGAGTGGTGTTTGCTAATACCATCATTATTATGACTAGTTATCACTTTCACTATTGCTCATGGGAATTTCTTGAAATGATTGTTTATTATTTATCTGTTTTATGGACATGCATCCATCCAAGCAACAATATAGCAATGCATTAACTCTTTCCCTGCCAGCGTTTTTTTAAAAAGTTGTCAACCATCGCCAGCATTTTTTATTTTTGGCGGGGGGTTTTTTATGCCTTTTATTTAGATAGGACAGTAGGTCGACAGGAAGCGAAGTGAGTGGGGGGGGGGGATTCGGGAAAGGTCCCCATTTATCTGTTTTATGGACATGCATCCATCCAAGCAACAATATAGCAATGCATTAACTCTTTCCCTGCCAGCGTTTTTTTAAAAAGTTGTCAACCATCGCCAGCATTTTTTATTTTTGGCGGGGGGTTTTTTATGCCTTTTATTTAGATAGGACAGTAGGTCGACAGGAAGCGAAGTGAGTGGGGGGGGGGGTATCGGGAAAGGTCCACGAGCCGGGACTCAAACTCGGGACGCCTGAAGCGCAAAGGCGCTACATGTCTGCGCGCTGCCCACAAGGCCATTGGCACCGACATCACCAGCATTTTTAAATATTTTCACAAAATTTTTATGGCCCCAAAATATTTTGTATGAATATGCAATATGTCAAAAAGATAGAACTGAGCCTCTGTTTATTTATATATATATATATATATACGTACATAAATATTTATTTATTATCAACACCTGAATGTGGGCAAGTTTCATTAAAAAATGCAACATTTTGAACAAAAAGCTGAGGAAATCATGTTTTTGTCAAAGACTATGTCCGGACTGGATTCAGAACGATGATCAAAACATGGTGTAGATCGCTTTCATCAACACCCCTAAAGCTTGTATGGTCCTACAGCACTTCCTGGGGCGATATTTCATTCAGTAACGTTAGGCAGTTTTAATTAATATACTGTTTAACGTTTGATGATTGTGTTTGATGATGCGATCGCTTGTTTCTGCTTCTTCTTCACCGTGTTTGATTCAGAGATTCAGTGCTCTTTCAGAAGATGTGTAATATCGCCTCCTACTGTATGACAGTGAAAACACGAAAAGACAGAAAATTCTGTCAGTGGCGGGAAAAGAGTTAATAACCATTGAGAACACCTTAGCAACTGCATAGCATACAACCACCCAGAACACCCTAGCAAACACATAGCAATACATAAACAACCACACAGTACACCTTAGCAACCACATAGCAACACCCTGGCAACCACCCAGAACACCCTAACCCTTTTTCAACTTTTGCATGAGTACGAATATTGAATGGGCAGTGTACTTGATATTATCGGTTGAATAACAGTACTAGTTTTCCTTAATGCCCTGGGAAGCTTTTTGTGTATATATTTTGTTTTATCACTGTGATATTTGTAGGATAGTGCTGAGGTATTGCTTCCTTCCGCTACAGGTATTGAGGAGACTAAGCTCTGTTTGTGTGTTTACTGTGTGTACATGATAAATAGGAGCAGTACTCATGCTGAATGAAAGCTTAGACCACAGTGGTCTCATGTGTCTGCATGTGTGGAATAGCATGAGTCTGTGTGTGTTTCAGGTTTTAGCACAGATTGAGGATAAGCAGCGGAGGTTACCTGAGGTTCGCGCATGTCAAGGAGGCACTTCAAATACCAGCACTCTGCAGAGACTTATGCAGACTTTTGAACATGATATTCAGCTACTTGTTACGCAGGTGAACTGATGCAACACATCCTTATGCAAGGAGTGCAAAATAAATCTGTAAAGTTTGTTGATGCATCTCTAAAATACTTGATGATGAAATAAAGTGCATGACAATGGCAACATTTGTATAAAGAAGTTTTCCTGTTTTCCTCAGATAAGACAGTTGCAGGAAAGTGCAGCCCAGCTCCGAACAGTTTATGCCGGGGAGAAAGCAGAAGCCATTGCCATGCAGGAACATGAAGTGATGCAGGCGTGGAAAGAGCTGCTCGTATCCTGTGAGGACTGCCGAATGCAAATCACCACAGCGACAGACAAGTTACGCTTCTTTGGGATGGTGCGTGATCAGCTGATGTGGATGGACAGCATCATCTGTCAGATAGGAACTGGGGAGAAACCAAGGTAGGACACATGCTGGGACACTTGCTCTCTGCTTAGGAGCTCATTAATGTGCTTTAACATTGTAATGCATGAAGGTTTGCATCAGGTCAGCTGAAGAGCAGGCACTGGCCGCTGGAGTGTGCTATAGGTATCATACCGTGAGCACAAATAAGTGATATGATGGTAAGTGCATGAACCACAATAGTATTTATACATCATATTACGATTAAGCATAATAGTATCCATTAAGAGCAATCTATGGGAACACTATAGATCTGTTGCAAAACATTGAGCTGCTATGCTGTCTACTACCTACAGAAAACTACCTTCTTAGGGTACAACCTAACCTAAGAGAATTTGAAACAGGGCTGAAACAAACAATTATTTTGATAATAGATTAATCTAACGAATCATTAATCAACTAATCATTGATTAATCAGTAGTCTTTGATTATTCAGCATTTGCAATTAGTTAAAATATTGAGCTATACATATTCTAACTAATAAAACAAGGTAATCACTTCAGCTTTTGAAAATATCAAACAATTATATTACTAGTATACAATTACAATTATTATACAGTTATTTTTTACAATAAAAATAAATATATTTGGGACACCAAATGAGATTACAAACAGAGAGATATTCTCATTCATCATTTAATTAACTATGAAAAGGTAGCTGACCGATGTATCATTCTGCCTAACATCTCCTTTTTTAAGTCATCTGGATATGGAACAAAATAAAGGTAAATGATGAGAGGTGTTATTTTTGGATAAACCATTTTATTCACATTATCTCTCTTAAAATACCTTATAGTGTTGCGATAATAAAAATGGTGAGCTAAATCTTGAGCTTAATTTAAATCAAGTTGTAATTCTAACTGAAAGCGACACTGACACTGTTTTTCACGTTTAACATTATAAAGCTGCTTGCTTTAAAGCAATCTATTGTATAAAAAGTTATAATAAACGTGACATGACTGGACTTTACTGACAAATTCAGAGCCATTGCAGACATATCCACATCGCTATGATCAGATGCTTTCTTAACTGCTGTTTTCTCACCACTGTCATTTTTGTTGTGTGTTTAGTTGTGAGGAAAGCATGCAGCATATATTAAAATATTCATCTAAACACCACTCTCAGCAGCGCGGGCACCATCAGGATGTTTGCTAACTTCAAAATGCTGCTTGCATATATTGAACCTCTTTTTACCACTAAATGAAAAAAAACTTTGACATGAGTATATCTGGGACTTCACATATGACAGCATTTTTTGTTTGTAGTTTTGCAAAACCTTCCCACACTCTACTGGTTGGGCTGCGTTTGCACTCTGACATGCTTTCATAAAGAGAAGGGTCTGTCTGCATCCCACAGTACTACAAACCACGCCCCTCCAATTTACGCCTACTACTACAAGTTAAGCCTCCTCCAGAGAAACAAGAGTGGAGGTTATTGACTAAAACAATCTTTTCAAGTAAATTATCTTAGGTTTTATGTATGAAGTGTTTGTAAGCCTACTTGTATTGCTTTCCAGCTATGAAATTTACAAAGTGCGAAATAACAGCTATTAGTAAAACATGAAATAAATCATATAATCAAATTGATACAGACCTATGATAATTATAGCTAAAAACCTACCCCCAACCCTAAACCTTTCCCTAACCCTACCCCTTACACAAAATTAAAATTTACTGGAAAACTACATGGGATGACTTAAGCTTTCTGGTGATCTATGTAATACAATCTGTATGCCTCATTGCTGGGTGGTGATAGTGAACCTTAAAAAGTGAGGAAAATGAAGTAGAAGAAGAGCGGAAGTGGTGACATCAGCGATTGCCTAATTGGCTGTTTCATTTTAGGAGGTGTAACATTTAGTATTGTTTAATTTGTAGGGGTGTGGTGTGTACTACTGCGGGACACAGTCAGATCATAGACTGTATAAAACCATGGGCGTAGTGTCCGTCACCCATAGGTTTCTGAAGAGCATTTTTGTACCAGGCTGTACAACATATTTTTTCTGCTGTAAAGTTGGGCATTTTAGCATGGGGTGGGGGGGTCTACTGGTTGGGCTGCGTTTGCACTCTGACATGCTTTCATAAAGAGAAGGGTCTGTCTGCATCCCACAGTACTACAAACCACGCCCCTCCAATTTACGCCTACTACTACAAGTTAAGCCTCCTCCAGAGAAACAAGAGTGGAGGTTATTGACTAAAACAATCTTTTCAAGTAAATTATCTTAGGTTTTATGTATGAAGTGTTTGTAAGCCTACTTGTATTGCTTTCCAGCTATGAAATTTACAAAGTGCGAAATAACAGCTATTAGTAAAACATGAAATAAATCATATAATCAAATTGATACAGACCTATGATAATTATAGCTAAAAACCTACCCCCAACCCTAAACCTTTCCCTAACCCTACCCCTTACACAAAATTAAAATTTACTGGAAAACTACATGGGATGACTTAAGCTTTCTGGTGATCTATGTAATACAATCTGTATGCCTCATTGCTGGGTGGTGATAGTGAACCTTAAAAAGTGAGGAAAATGAAGTAGAAGAAGAGCGGAAGTGGTGACATCAGCGATTGCCTAATTGGCTGTTTCATTTTAGGAGGTGTAACATTTAGTATTGTTTAATTTGTAGGGGTGTGGTGTGTACTACTGCGGGACAGATCATAGACTGTATAAAACCATGGGCGTAGTGTCCGTCACCCATAGGTTTCTGAAGAGCATTTTTGTACCAGGCTGTACAACATATTTTTTCTGCTGTAAAGTTGGGCATTTTAGCATGGGGTGGGGGGGGGGTCTATGGGATTGACTCCCATTTGGAGCCAATCTCTAGCGGCCAGTCGATGAATTGCAGTTTAAGTCACTTCCGTGTTAGTTTCAAGAGAGAGACCGGAAGGTTGCCGCTCGGGTCAGATACAGGTGCATCTCAATAAATTAGAATGTCGTGGAAAAGTTCATTTATTTCAGTAATTCAACTCAAATTGTGAAACTCGATAAATTCAATGCACACAGACTGAAGTAGTTTAAGTCTTTGGTTCTTTTAATTGTGATGATTTTGGCTCACATTTAACAAAAACCCACCAATTCACTATCTCAACAAATTAGAATATGGTGACATGCCAATCAGCTAATCAACTCAAAACACCTGCAAAGGTTTCCTGAGCCTTCAAAATGGTCTCTCAGTTGTGTTCACTAGGCTACACAATCATGGGGAAGAATGCTGATCTGACAGTTGTTCAGAAGAATTAATTAATTAAGTAAGTAAGTAATTAAAGCAAAAGGAGCCCCTACCAAGTATTGAGTACATGTACAGTAAATGAACATACTTTCCAGAAGGCCAACAATTCACTAAAATGTTTTTTTTATTGGTCTTATGAAGTATTCTAATTTGTTGAGATAATTAATTGGTGGGTTTTTGTTAAATGTGAGCCAAAATCATCACAATTAAAAGAACCAAAGACTTAAACTACTTCAGTCTGTGTGCATTGAATTTATTTAATACACGAGTTTCACAATTTGAGTTGAATTACTGAAATAAATGAACTTTTCCATGACATTCTAATTTATTGAGATGCACCTGTACACTTGCTCGTAAGTGCCATGTTTCTTCTTCTATTGGACTGTGTGTGGGAGGGCGCCACGCTGGTCAATCCGCTTTATTGCAGACCCCTTACATGAGGTCATATGAGATAAAATGTCTATTCGACAACGAAAATATTTGTTGATAATTTTTTATTGCCGTCATTGTCGATAATGTCGACTAATTGTTTGAGCTTTAATTTCAAATGCTAATTTCAAATGCTTTTCAAGTGGCACTTTTTATGTGAAATGAACAGAGGACTTCACTTAGAAATTGATTCCAATAGCGTCTGACATTGCATGTTGCTAAACTAACAAAAGGGATCTCTAATAAACTAAAAAAAATACAGTATTCACAATAATTAAATTAAAAAAACTATTTTTTTCAATACTTTTCTGTATTTAATTAATTATATTCCAAAATAAATTCTTGAAAAATCCACCATTTTCCACTACTGAGTTTGTTGTAATGTTTTCTGGAATGGCCTTCTCTGCATTGTTACCGGTTGGTTTTTTGCCAAAAGACGTTTGCTGGAACAGCTTTTGCATTGGGAGCGCACCTATGTTGGCAGCTCACTTGGTTTTGAAACAGAGCTATAGTGTATATATGTCTAGTGTATTTTTTAAAGTCTTAATAAAGACCCTATAATACTGCAAAAGCTCAGGAGCCCTTATGGACACTCTTCGTGGTGCCAAAATGGCCTTCTGTTGCTGTTTCTTTCTGTGGGCAGACTTGGCCCATGCATTCTTCCCAAGTAACTCTCTCTCCTCTCACTGTCAGCTCTTTCCTCAGAGCTCTAATGGGATATGGGCTCTCTGGTGCTTGCAGGGACGTGTCATCTGTGGAGGTCCTGATGAACTATCACCAGAGCCTCAAGAGTGAGGTGGAAGCTCGAAACAAGAGCGTGCTACAGTGTATCGAGATGGGCAAGACTCTACTGGCTGCCCGTAACCCTGCATCAGAAGAGGTGACAAAAAATATAAAGTACAACCTGTTCAGAAACTGTTGCAGATCTGAAATCACTACAAGGCCCAAAACATACTCTATGCATGTTTAATTTCAGGCATTGTTGCAATCCAAAATATGTCAGACTGCAATTACATATTGCATTCTCAACATTGCTACAAGTAACACTATAGTGTGTACTAATATAAACTCTTTTTCTACAGTTAATTTCCTGATTTAAAAAGTTACTTAAAGTTGACGCGTTTAGGTAGCTACCGAAATAATAATACATCTGAAAGAGTTTTTTCACATTTGAATACTGTGACTTGTTACTGCCACAGCAATTAAAGAAAGCACATTAAGTATGTACGATGTAACTGCCTGCTTCCAATGCAATGGCCATCCTTTTGTGTCTGCAATGGTGCACTTTTGTAAAGTATGTTTCCAGCCTAAATGATGGTGACTACATGATATTCCAACCTGTCTTCTGTCTGTACCTGACGATTAAGTATTGACCATTTCAGATCAAAGAAAAGCTGGAAAAAGTTTTGGCCAAGCAGCAAGAGCTCACTGAGAAATGGGACAAACACTGGGAAGAGTTGCAGCACAGTGGGTGAAATGAGGCTAATGGAAAACAAACATTATGCATAAATTATGTAATCAGTGTCATGCACTTCACAACATCTCACTCTCTTTCTGTGCCTTTGCAGTGTTGGAGGTGCATCAGTTTGCTCAGGAAGCAGTGGTAGCAGAGGCCTGGCTCACTGCTCAGGAACCCTTCCTAAGTAGTAATGAACTGGGTGGCAGTGTGGATGAGGTTGAGCAGCTGATTCGCAGACACGAAGCCTTTCGCAAAGCTGCGGCCACATGGGAAGAACGCTTCAGCTCTTTACGCCGTCTTACCACAGTAAGAGAGACCAACCAACCAAACCCAAGGGTCAGGGGTATCCAGTCCTGCTCCTGAAGGGCCAATGTCTTGCAGAGTTTAGCTCCAACCTGGACAAACACACTTTTACACACATTAGATTAGCTGGTTAAGGGTTTTTTAAAGGAAAAAATAGGTTTAGAGGATCCATTAGGATTGGATCCTAATGGATGTCACACTGATGTCACTGTCATACAATTGTACTTTTCATTAATTTTACCATAGTTTGAATGTGTCAATAGTCTACCTACTGAAATTCAAAAACATTTTACTAAAAGGTGAATTGTGTATAGCATAATGTCTTTTTATAGTTACAGAATGGAAGTGTGGGTGTATAAATAATAAAAGATTCTCTTGTTTAACGATTTAGGTAGAGAAGATAAAGGCAGAGCAGAGCAAGCTTCCCCCAACTCCCTTGCTGGGACGGAAGGTTTTCTTGGACCCTCAGGACTCTTCTCCTGCTCGCAGTAGCCCTTCCTCCATCATTAGACAGACCATATATGAGCAGGGCGAGTCCCGTGTGGAGCGCATCACCCCTCAGCCCTCTCCCTCTTCCGTGGCCCGAAGACTGGGTTCTACTGTGGCCAACTACTCTCCCATCATGAATGGAGCTGCTACTTATCGCCTTCAGGAAGCCAGGAATGCTGGGATTGTTGGAGTGGCTGCAGGACTGGGCACTTCTATGGATCATAAGGTCACCCAATTGCGAGCGGAATTCAAGGCCCAAGTCCCACAGCAGAAGATCGAACACATCCATGAGGCAGTCCACCCCCTACTGGAGAGAGACAGGGAGCGGGAGCGGTATCATGAGAACGTAATGGCAGAGGTGGTGCTCCAGGAGCCAGGCGGAGGAAGGGAACGCCTAAACAGCATGGTGGGAGGGAGCGGAAGCAGTCGCTCAGAGCTGTTGGTGGAGCAGCATCCCCCTCCAAGGGAGTCGCGGTTGGAAAGACAACTATCCACCGAGCAGCTGATTCAGGCACGCAGGGACGAGCTGCCTCAGGAGGTGTGGAGAGAACGAGCTGGGAGGGCAGAGAGGAGGCTGGAGAGACAGACATCTAGTGAACAGGAAGGTCATGAGGTGCGGCGGAGGGACAGACACCGACTGGAGAGACAGGACAGCAGCGAGCAGGAGGCCAAGGAGCAGTCGGACAGACGCTCTGGTGGCGGGTGAGTGTCTGTATTTGTGACCTCAAACGATCCACATTACAAAGTCAAGTCAAGTCAAGTCTGCTTTATTGTCAATTCTTCCACATGTACAGCACATACACACAGATAATTGAAATTGCGTTACTCTCAGACCCTTGGTGCATACAGATAACATAAATACAGATTAAATACAAATATACAACTAAGGTCAAATGTAAAAATATATATATAAAGCACAAGGCATATGGCAGATAGAGTGCAAACCAGTAAAGTAAACAACAGTGCAGATATAATGATTGTAGTGCAAAAAAATGATTTGTAGTGCAAAAGAGCTTATTCAGACTGATTAAAGTGACAGTGTGTGTGTGTGTGTGTATTTGGGAGGGGGGAG